CCCTTGCCCTTGACATTTCTAAACACCCAAATCTACTAAAAATAGGTGTTCAAAAAGCAACTGGGCCAAAATATCGTGTTGTCCTGCTTGGTAGAGTGAAATATAGGTCGATGTAATGTGTTGATTGGAGCTGCCAAGGGCAATGTTGGTAAACTCAGAATAATCATCGATTCGATCAGGATAATGGGTCACCGGTTGAATTGGTAGTCATTGGCTGAACAGATTAAACTGTGCACACACACAAATATATACACATTAATCCATATCTTTTAGTCCATACTAAAACTCCAAAAAACTAACACAAGAAATCACTCAACAATTCCAATACTTCAAGGTCCAAAAGGCCATGACACAAAGTACTTATGAGGTTATCATCACACTTTAACAAGTTCAAACCAAAAATAAACATGTTGCAATGGAGGGGATTAAGCATATCTATATGTGAAATATAAACCAAGGAGAATCAATTGATAAAACAGATGGCATATTTTTTGTATAACCAAGGTATCTCCTCGCCCTGATGTTAAGAAACTAATCTACTCCGGGTGCATGGCTGTCCTAACAACAAATGTCGCTCAAATGAATCGAACATTTTACATTTTTTGTCTACACGGGATTGACTGAACCTTACATCACTAAACCAACGCCTTTACATAAACATATGACAATTAGTTTCTTGCCAGGTAATCAAGACACAATGGAAATAAACAACATATCATGTGAACAATAATGAGAAGGATCCAAGCTATAAAATGAGGTAAATCAGATTTGAAAATGATGCAGCGGTGAATAACGTATATAAAATAGTTGAATGAAATTCTTATATATATTAAATGTTAATTAGATTGATTAAGTGTTTGGGTCCAAAGTATTCATAGATCTGAATATGCAGCCACTTACTTGCCTGCAGATTTCATTCGCCGGACCACAGCTTCCTTGCGGCGGTGGTTTTTCAGGTTCTCCCGTTTCTCCTCTTTTCTGCTCTCTCTCTCTCTTCTTTTTATTAAAACCCATTTTCACCCCTTAATTTTGTTTATGACTAGCTTTTACTATATTATGTCACAAATTATTTTCATTAACCGATGCAGCATTTATGTGATATAAGGTCTTAAGTATCCGGTATTAGACCAGAAGTGTCAAATATGTTTAATTACTAGCAATTCTATTTTTACTTATAGGAATCAAATTGTACCATAGGATGCAAGAAAAATTGCACTATTTGGCTTCATGTTAGTTAGGATAATTAACTTAGTAAATACTTATAAAAATATTAAAATCTTAATATATTAAACAAAGTGTATAACTATCATGCCACTTACACAAATTAATTTAAGGGGAAATGTATTTTGAACTTCCTCTAAATTTATCATCTCACTTATTCCACACCGATCAACCAGTCAAACGTGAAAGATTGGGTTGGCCTTCTTCTTGATCGTCTAAGAACCAAATATTCTATCCTGGTCAACTGAACACCCACGTTGATTAGACCGACCTTTAAGGATCTTCAGAAACATTCAAGTCTAATAGCATGCTCAAGTGACGAGCATCTTATTAGACTTGGGGGAATTGTTTCACCCTGGTCAACCAGTCAAGCTTGATAGTCCAGGTTGACCTCCTACTCGACCGACCAAGAAGCAAACATATCCGAGCTAGGGCTTTCAAAGCATGCCTCGTAAATGGTAAGACGCGATAGGCCGGTTTTGGAAACACTACCTCGACATTTCGCCCGACACGCTGCCAACAATTTGTTGTCGCGCCACCTACAAATCCAACCTAACCTTCTGCCAACACAACAAGGGACAGGTCTGCAACATGGTTGTCAAACCTGCCATAAGCTACAAGTCAACTACACAGAGTATGGCCCTGCCAAATCTATCTGACACGGATAAAGCAGCCTCCGACATACCTAGATCGTCGGTCACTCCAACAATATTCTCCACGAGCTATTTAGCCTATCCCACCACAATAAATAGGGGAACCCCATAAGGAAGTATCATCTAACTTACTATTCATTACTATTCACTCTAATTATATTTGCTCTTTACTTCCTCTCGAGTCTCATACTAACTTGATCGTTGGAGTACCTTTTCATGTACCTCCATCGGCGGGTCCAAGCTCAATCCAAACACACTTATGAAGTTTATTTGTCCGACCTACTAGCTCGGCCCACTAGACTCATGAGCAAAGAAGAGTACACCTTTTGTTTCTATTGGGAAAACAAACAAAGTTCTAGGAGAATTGAACAATTGCAGGTACATTGATAAATAAAACTTGATCAAACCTTCCACTTGAAGTTAACTCTTGGCATGGATACAATATCATAAACAGTACTGTTAAGAAACTTTTAGACATCTCTAAAAATATAAGGATCTCAAACAAAATTGTCCCTCTCATAATACAAAGTCACCAATGACAATTAATTTGACCCTATAAGCTATATTTCTTTTGTTCCTTCTCTCTTAAAGGTTTAGATGTCATATGCAGAAGTTTAGTTAAATTTAAACTTTGTAAAATTATTCAAATTCCTAATCATTTAACTCACTTTTAATTCGCTCATAATATTTTAGGTACATTCTATTTTAGTTACATATTTTTTATTTTATTTCAAGGGGAGGTTTAGAGAGATCTTACAAATTACAAGGGAATGGGTAATGTTAGTGGGTTATTTCAAGAAATTAAGTCAGATACTCACACTTTATATCTCATAATTTTATTGATATAATTTTTAATGTTATTCACTCAGAATAAATTACTCTTAAGATGTTTTCAATGAATGAAAAAATAATCTGAAGAAAACTGAACCAACTCACTTGAGCCCATGCATGCATGGTTAGCAACTCCACAAATTGTTTTTTTTTTTGAAAATTTTCTTTAATAAATTTTTTATTCTTGAGTTCATATGTAACCCACTAGATTGGGGTGAATCATGTGATACAAATTAAAATGCATCTCTCTTAATAATATCATTTAACATTCATATTTAATTATCATTGAATTTCAAAAAACGTAATACAAATGAACATTAGATGATATAGTAACTGTGTATAAATCTTTACATTAACGATACATAAATATTACTCATTAGTAAATATATACATTAGCTAATGTATTGTACAACAATAATAAAAACATCCATAAGAGTTCAAGTTACTCTCAAATCCAAATGAATAAAATGCAAGTTAACAACTTGTCAAATTTCATCAACTCAATTACAAAACAAGAATCGAAGGTTACAACATCGTGCAAGAAGAAAGGACAGTGAACTATGATTGAGGGTAATTATGTTATATTTAAGGTGAAAAATATTCTTATAAAATATGTTATCCTAGTATGATAATATGTACTTAGACCAAATTGATAATCCTTAATAATAACAGGAAAAAAAATGTATATACTCATAGTGTAAAAGTTTTTATATTGTTATTATATCATTCATTATTCATATATAATCATCACTTATCAATATAAACAAATAATAAATATTTGAGCATGTAATAACTATTGTCCCAACAAATGTAATGATAGGCATGGTCATAAAGAAACAAAGTAAGGATGATACGCTAAGGAATCAGAATCCGAGGTTATTGGAGCTTGACAAATACTAAGATGCAAAGGCACATGTTTCCTCGGAACTCAACTACAATGTCGTGTCAAGAAGCATGGCTTTAGGATTGGATAGCATGAGTTTTCAATGTACTTGTTTGAACAGCTACATAAATTTTGGGCATTGCAGATTTCTTGTTTGTATCTATGATCTATCAATCAACAAATATATACATGGCAAACATAGATATAGCCAATAAAGTTTTTTTAACTGTTTATATTGGACCTCAAGAGAGGAAAGGAAATTGGCACTATATAATATCAAGTGATGATCTCATTGAGAATCCTGCTGGTATATGAATCAAAATGTTTGGTGAAGATACTTCTTCAAACTTTTCAGATAATTTTTAATTTTTATAGTATATAACACTTATATTATATACTTAATGTTATTAAAAAGTTATCCTAATTAATTGTACTAACAACATGAATAACGCTATTCACATATATTAGTTGCTATTTGCAAAACTTTTATGATCTAAGAATTTTGGTGTGAAGAGATGTGAGTAATGACTGATGGGTAAGAAGCATCATTCTATTCTATTGTAGGAACTTAGCTGACACCCTTTTGGTATTGTGGCTGCAGGCTTAGGACTTGTTACATTTTGGACTATATATTTTGTAGCACTATAGATATACATATATGTTTGTTGTTTGCTAAATTTTTACATAAAAACAACTTTTTGACTACAAATAATAATGTTATTTGACATTTTGCTAAGCTTCCCTTTAGTTCATGCAGGACTTTTCCATAAGTTTAGCAAAATGCTACACATTTTAAGTTGAAGTATGTTATTTTATTTTTTTGTAAACTTGTGTAAAAAAACATTTGCTAAACCATGTTTGTTTCTTCATCAAAAGCTAATAATTCTAGTTGTAATTTTTATTCGAGCAATCCTAATAAATTAAAAAGCAAGTAAGGTTGAATATACCTTCTATTTACTTTAAAGTATGTCAAAATCACAACAAACTAAATGATTTAACAATGAATATATTTTAACTTTCTCTCTTTAATGCAGCTCACTTTAAAAAAACCTTGTACTAATTCTCATATATTTATAGGTAACTCATTATCATGTGAAAGGGTATTGGACTTATATGGTTGAATATCTAGGTACCACGTATTCAAATAAAGGGCCAAATAGATATGCATGTACAAGTTATTATATTCTCCAATATGTTATTCTAATATGTTGCACAAATAACAAAAATGGGTATGAAATGTGAGCCAATAATGTTGACCAGTACAACCTTTTCTTAGGAGTAGTAGTATTTAAGGAGCAACAAGGGAGGGACCATTTTGCATATTTAGGCTCTACTTGTTGGGATGAAATGAGAATATAGTAAGGAATGAAGGATGAAGTGCATGTAGATAGATATGGATAGGACTAGTTAAGAGAAGGAAGAAGGAGCTCCTTTTGATCCAATGTGAAGGGCTTAGAAGATGCAAGAGCTGTCATCTCATGCATTAGGCTACCCTTAATGTTTTGTAATTTCAGTATCTTCCATTGTTTGAAATGTTAAGTTTGGCCAAGTGCATGATGTGAGAGCAACTCAATCCTTCTTCTTAGCCCACCCATTGGATTGAAGGGAGCTCTTACTTTCACCTTTTTATTTTTACACTTTTCTTTTTAATGCATATTATGTTTTATTTCCTACCCTCTTTCGTATCCGATACCGATACTCGAGTATATTTCTTTGGAGTAAATTTTCCATCCAGATAACCCTATAGTAACTTTATTTTCTTCCTATCTTACCCAATTTTCTTCACTATGTTGCATGATGTTTCAGGAAGAGACAGAAGATTTTTTAGCTCATGCAGCAGTAGCAGTCTAGCACTAGCAAAAGTGAAGAGTGAAGGGGTTTTGATTGTTTACTTTGGCCAATGATTCTTCTTGTCTAGTCTTTACTCTACTTGATGTTATATGAATGAAAAATAACACACTTCATGGTCATATTTTTATTATGCTAAAGTCCTACTCCAAGCTTCTATTGGTCATTCAATATGACCTATGAGCTAGTGTTTTTTTGTGTGTTATTAGTAATGGATGAAATTTAGCTTGAGGAAGAGAATATGAGTTTTTCAACGTTGAGTTTCCACTTCCAATTTTTTGATAGGACTCACAAGATTGATAGTGAAATTTCCTTGTTGTTGGTGTTAATAACATTATTCAATGATCAATACTGCAATGTCACAGCAAAAAACTCAAAGAATGGTTTTTAGTAAAAAAAACTCCAAAGTTTTTTTGTAAGACATTCTCATCTTAAATTTGATTTTTCATCGCAGGTATATCTTTCACAAAGTAAAATCTAAAGGTGTATTTATTTTTAATTTGATAAAAGTATAGTATTATCTCATTGAAGTAAATAATCTGAGTATATACTAACTTCTCATTTTAAAAACAAGCACATTTTTTTAATCTTAAAAAATGCCTCCAGATTGTGTAGTCATTTATGGATTAGTAAGTCGCCAACAAAAGATATGTAAAAAAAATATCACAGGTTTCCCACAAAAATCTACTTTCCACTATATGTTAGGCTACCAATATAAGGATGAAATTTCACATTTAAGAAATCTGAGTACAGCATTGAAATTTCACGAGGAATATAGCATCATATTATTAATGAACCACACATTACAACCTGTAATGAGAAAATCTTATTTCACAATACTAATGCTCATAGCTTTTCATACTTGTTTACATTTAAATGCTAAGCAGCAGTAAAACAAATGAGCCAAGCAAAAATAATCAAGGCCATGCCAAATATAGTTAAAGTTCAGAGGAAGTTTTGAGTAAGGAAACAGAACAAGAATGCAATAACTGAACATAGGTACTCCACTTAGAATCTGATTTCAGGTAATCAATCTCCCCTGCAAGAAAGGACCAAAATTTATTTTAATCTACAATAATAATTATTCTCCTTATCACTGTCACATTAATCATCTGCATCTATGTTAAATTATCTTTTTTAGAAGATATGTACTAAGAGGTTTATGGTGAAAGTTGTTCTGTATAACTCGGTATAGCTCAAACGGTTACTACAGCAGATTTACTTCCCCCATCGAAATTTGGGATGCTCAATTATAAGCTGTAATTGAGTAACCCCAAACTTAAGAAACTCAAATTCTTGAGAAGTTGGAAACATGAAATAGTTATTTTTAGTTGAAATTGGTTTTTCATTTGCAAGTCCAACTTTTTTATCGGAAAAAATGACAGGAATGATGTTTGAAGTTACCTTTTATTAATCCCCAGTTTATATCATTCGGACTCGACCGCCTCAACTTTTGGACCTGGTTCAGATAAGTAAACAAGATATAAAGAATTATCACACAAGCACCGAAATACATTATTACAGGAAACATGAAATAGATTCCAAATCTTTCCTTCAAAACAAAAATTAAACATAAGAAGCCTCCAACAACAACATTTTCATGGTGAGAGTTAATTTGCATCGATTACATCTAGGTAGTTAAACATAACAAAAGAAAGATATATGTTTAATTTCTTATGGCAGATGATACAAGGCGAACAATCCATCATTCCCAGCTTACTGGCAATAGATCATCTTTAAATGCAATCAACAACTTTATCAAGAGAGGCACAGTAAGATGAAATGTGTTGTATACTAGACATACCTAAAAAGAATGATCTTTATAATTCCAACACTCCCACTTTTCTTCGCTCAAAATAAAACTTTTGCACACGGCATGCCAAAAAATTGAATTTAACCATGCCAGACTATATGCAATAACAATAATAACCAAGTCGGCGAGACTAAATGCTAATCTAATTAATCTAAGGCTACATGCAGTGAGTATAAAAAATGCTAAAAATTTGCATCCATGACTATGAACACCCCAAAGACACCCTTTAATCATTGACCCAAAAGAGGGCAACTCCAAAAGAACCAACCCACTTTATAATTTTCAAAACCGTCGTGCATTGAATCAATTCAAAGCTCCATAGATACACTCCATTTACTTACAATCTCATTTTCCAATGAAATAAAAATAAACCCTTTTCAAACTGCAAACAAAGACAAAATCCTTTATCACTAAGCAACAAAAAAATAACAACTTGAGATAAATTATACACCTCAGTTGATAATTGACAAACTTCTATCAGTCTAAGATTTCTACTACGAATGTTAATAACCCAAAAAACAACTTTTAATAAAAAAAACTTAAAAAAAACGCAACTTGTGAGTAATGGAACACACCCAAATAAAAAATTCACAAAACCCATTTCCATTAAACACTAAAAATGAAAAAAAATAATGTGTAGGTTTCGAACCGTGAAGAGAGGGGTGACGACCATCTTTGCCCCAACCAATACCGCGAGTGGATTCAAGATACTGATTAACGAGATGGCGACACTTTTGAAGATGATTAACACCTTCTATACGGTAACACCAACGAAGTTTCTCTCTGATGATTTTGGCTTTCTCAATTTGGATCCATTTTTCTCTAACTATGTATTCTCTCATCTCAAGCATCGCAACTGGATCCTTATATGGATGTTCTGGATCGAAATTGTCTGGTGGATATTCATCGAACTCAACTTTCCCTTTCTTCCTTCCCATTCTCAATCAATTAATCACTTCTTCTCTTCTCTTCTCTCTCTTCACCCTTTTCTTCTTCAGTCGCTTATGAGTGTGAATATTCTGAGAGGTTTGTTGAGCCTATGTTTGTTGGGCCGGTTTTGTTATCCTTTTTGGGCATAATTTTGGCCCACTGAAAAAAGGTGGAAGAAAATGTTATTTAATGATCTAGTATATGGTAAGCTTCTACTAGATTCCAAAAGCACAAGGTCAATGATTCAATTTCTGTTAGTAACACTTGTTTGGATGGATAATCATATACCTAAAAGGATTATTCTTGGTTGTACAAAAAAAAGAATATTCAGATATGCTCCTATCTGCCTTTCATTTGTTTATGGACTCACACTCGTCTTATACATCTACACATACCTACTAGGTTTGATATTTGAGTGTTTGATAGTCAAAAATTTATAAAATATTAAAAATAACTATGAGTAATGTATATTATTATGTATGTTTTTCTTTCAATTTAAATGTTTTTTTACCATTAAAAATAGAAAAATCAAAATCAAAATCAAAACAATTTAAATTGTTTATTGAAACAACTCTTTTTTACTAGAAAAAACATAAACCAAGTTTCTACTTTAACATTATGGTAAAAAATATTTAGTAAAATTGTTAAATCAATATAACATTACCCTATAATTATGGATTGACAAAGTAAGAGCTATAGAGAGAGCCCTTACTTTGTGTGAATATATATAGAAAATTGTAAGTGATTGATAATTATTTAAATGAAAAGAAATATTATATCCAAAATACTAAGTTTGTATAATTCAAAATTAGAAGAACTGAATACAATTATGTATATCGAATCAAATAAAGAAATTACACATAGAATATAATGAGGAAAAAAGAACAAAAGATACAATATCAATATCAAAATGATGTTAAAAATTTAGTTTATAAATTTACACCAAAAGCATTTTGCAATATACAAACCTAAAACAATGCAATAAAAGAAAGGATAATATAAATATCCAATCAACTTTACAACTTTGTTATATCATCTACACCTCATCTTCCTTTTTATGACTTTCTTCTTTTCTTATCACATTCTCTTTTTCTTTCATTGATGGCAATCACCATCAACTACCCCAAACACACTTAAGACATGCATTTGTGCAATTGTCCTTGCAACAATCCCATGCTCTCTTTTTCACTTATAAACACATGTTGGACTAATTTGTGGAGTACTATAATAAAATTTTCAGTCTATTTTGATTAACTTACTTTCATCTAGTCCTTTTGAGTGTAGACAAATAATACAACTAAATTATGAAAAATAACTTACAAGACTCCAAAAGATTAATCATCAATTTCCTCCAAATTACAATTACAAAGGAGGAGGTTCTGAGTTACAATTCTCCAAGACCTCATAAACCTAACAAGAGAGAAAGAAGAAGACATTACTTGTCCTTTTCTTGTCCCTAACTTGTCCTCCTTTTATTCTTCAAAAAGGAAAACCAAAAAAAGATTAAAAAGAAATATCGTCACCATCTCAATTACACATGACATGACACCTTAACTCATGAACAACAAGATCCAGAGACCATTATATACATATATAATACAACAACATTGAATTAAAATTAGCTCCTGTCTCCCAAAAAAAAATCTCCATTGCTCTTGGAACTTTGGTGATTTTTAAGTCCTCATTTTCTGCTTTCTGGTATTGTTTTTTTTGTTGAAAAAGGAACTATGCAACTACAGAAATGCTGCCGTTGCGCCTATCCCTGCTGAGGCAATCAAAACCTTCAATCCTCACTGCAGCTGGTGTGTGACCAAACTTCATTCTAACACAACTCCTAGCTGAGGAAGATGTCGCAGGCGGTGCCATGGAAAATGAACTAAAATTTACATTTACATTACCAAACTGCTCATCCTGGATCACAGGGTTAGAAACCCTACTTGGTGGAGATCCACAGAAAAATGGTGGCGGTGTTGAAGCCAATTGCCCCCCAGATCTCTCAGGGTTATAGCAGCTTCCCTGCAAAAACAAATTGAGC